GCAGGAGACACAGCCTCCTCCCTCACCCACTGCCCCTAATGTGCACAGACCCCATTTGTTGTCTGAATGTAACCACAGCAAAGCAGAAAGGAAAAGGATGGCAGCAAACTCAGGCAGAGCATCTGCAAGGCAGAGAGCTGTCTGGGTCCAGCCTCAAGACTCCAAGCTGCATGCACATGTCTAATAACATGCATAGAAGCCCTTGGACTTTCACACTCTGCATTTTGTTTTGTTTTTGTTTTTTTTCTGAGTGTGAAGTTCTCTAAACCTTCTCCAATTCTCTCACCCAAGCATTTCACAGGCTCAGTGTTCTTCTTGCTCCAAAGAGATCCCTTTTTGTAGCATACCAATGCACAGATACAACTAGGTCAGAACAATAGACATAGGTGAGTATTCCCTTAGGGGCCAACTCGCTCCTGAGAACATAAATTGAATTAAACCCATTGCATGAGGGCTCTGCCATGGAGTATTCCCTTATAGCAAAGAACCTCTAGTTCATAATTTGTAACTGCATGCAAATTAATTTTCATTCAATGCATTTATAATGTTCCTGCTCTGGATGTTATTCTTCAATTTAACAAAATAATAATTTTGACATACAGGGGATTATAAAGTAGAAAAGTGCACATTCTACCCCAGTAGCAAGGACTACTGGAAGAAAAATTCCAAGTTTCTTCAGCACAGGTGTACCAGGCTCCAGGTAAGGAGAAGCATCTAGGACAAAGGTTGAGATTGACATTCATCAGGCTATACTTTTGGGATCTGGTAAAACCACCATGTGTAAAAGGCAGCACCCATCAGACTCTCCTTCTCTGGCTAGATCAGGCCTGGAATCAGCAAATAGGGGATAAATGTGCACAGGTGGACCCAAAGGTCTAGATCTAAAGAGGCAGTAGGAAGCAGTAGGAAGCCCCCACCCAACCTGAAGTTCCAGCCACATTCTCCAACTCAGCTTATCCCAAGAGATACAGTGGGCACTTGCTGTCATATCTGAAATTTAATTTCTGCTGCCCATTCATCTCTTTATTGCTGCTTTTTGCTGTTTGGAACAAAGGGTGGAAGAGGGTAAGGAGTTGACAGCCCCAAAACTTTTGTCATATCAATTTGATCAGCTGAAACTTTCTCTTTCAATGGGAATTCCATGTTGCTACTGAGAAACCTATATTTAAAATAATTATTTAGATATTGAAAACTAACAAATGGCATTGTGCGCTTGGCCCACCTCTGTTGGGCACTTCATATCCCACAGCCTGAAAAAGATTCATATTTCTAAAAGTCTCACATACTTGAAACCCTTGAACCACAGACCCATCCTAAAAGCTTTGCATCCTGAGGTAAGCAACATACTATTTTTGTCATTAAAGACAGGAACTTCTGCTCTTCAGCAAAACTAACTCAACTGTTACCAGCCAGACTTGTTGACAATCATATAACAATTTGAACTATAAATACAGTCTTTGGGTCAGTTGCTTTGAAAGCTGGAGTCTCTTGACTATTTTATTATTATAACCTTCGCTTACCACTAAAAAATTGTCTGTCTGTGAGGGGCCAGGCATGGTGGCTCACGCCTGTAATCTCAGCACTTTGGGAGGCCGGGTGGGCAGATCACGAGGTCAGGAGTTCGAGACCAGCCTGGCCTACATGGTGAAACCCTGTCTCTACTAAAAATACAAAAATTAGCCTGGCGTGGTGGCAGGCACCTATAAACCCAGCTACTGGGGAGCCTGAGGCAGGAGAATTGCTTGAATCAGGGAGGCAGAGGTTGCAGTGAGCTGAGATTACACCATTTCACTCCAGCCCGGGCAACAGTGCAAGACTCCATGAAAAAAAAAAAAAAAAAAATTGTCTCTGAGGATTTTTTTTTCTGTATCCACATTTAATATCTGACAAAGATCTGCACAACCTGGAAATAAGAATTTGATCTTCTAAATAAATCAATGTGAATATGGGGTTGTACAGTCAGTCATTGCTAGGGACTGCTCAGGGCTTCCTGCTGACATGCGCAACTCCTCCAAAGGCCACAAGACACTGATTAGGGACCAGCAGCTCTCACTCCCTCCTGACACTTCACCAAGGCATGGCATTCTACACCCTTGCCGTGCTGTGGGAGTCTGGCTTGGCTATCTCTCATCTCCCTCGGCATCATCTATTTTTCTGCTTTCTGTGATAATCTCATGCTCACAGACGTATGCATCACAAAAGCAAGAAACAACATTCAGAACCAGACCTAGAAGAAAGACAGGTCTTCGCTGCTTTGTTGGAAAGACATCACCACTGTCCAAGCTTGTCAGGAAGATCAGGCCTGCCTAGGGGCTCAGGGGTCTTTAATTCTAGGACAAAGGAGTGGGCCCCAAATAAGAGTCACATTCTCTGACTTAGCTGTAGTTGGAGACCCTACATGGGATCCTATTGGGCATGTGTCCAATTTAATATAAAGGAAACTGCTACGCTGATTCCCATTCAGCCATCAATTTTTGGTACTAGCCAGTGTATTCAATTAGTTAGAGCCAGTGCTGGGCTGGTAAATATTTAAAAACTAACTCTCCAGAAAAAAAAAAAAATCTGATTCGGAGCACTTGCCAATTTCCATGGTGCAAATGCTCCTGCATGACCCAGTTCAAGCTACCACCATAACATCACTAAACATAGAGATGGAAAAAACTGTACTTAGCACAAGACTGCATAGTATTTCCATCATGTGGATATAACAAAAGCAAATCATCTCAAGAAGATAGATAACAGCAAAACATACTAAAATAATTAGGAAGTGATGAATCTTGAGTAATTATTTCTTATGTTTCTAACATGATTTATTTCATCGTAAGTTTATGTAATTTATTTATTATGATGATATCTATGTTTAACAATCAGCTTGCAAAATTCC